TTGCTCATTCTATCTCTCTTTTTCCTCCCCACTCTCTATCTTTCTCTCTTGCTCTAGCTTTCTCTGTCTCTCGCGTGCTCTCTCTCGCTCTCTTTCTCTATCTCTCTCTTTCTCACTTATTCACTTCACTTACTCTTTCTCACGCATCTACACGTACGCGGGTACATTATATAACATACACGCGGTCTGTCCTCTCTTGATCTGTGTGCCTGCTTGTTGTGTTGTCTATCTCCCTCGGGTTTAGGTTCGGGCTCGAGTGAATCAAAATAACGAAGAGAATGTGCCGTTGATGATCGGTGGAAAAAAAGGGTGGTGGTACTTGTTAAATATCATCGGATCCTTTGGTGCTCTCGATAATCAGTCCGAAATATAGTTTTGTGTATTGATGCACGCGAGATTTCTCGTACAGATCGTCCCGCCTTTCTACACCGATGCTGAATATTAGTGATTTAAATTATGTGTGAATTCGACGTAAGGAAACGCAATCGTTTTGTGGATTTTCGGTCTCGCCTTCGAGTTTATTGTGTCAGTGAAATTTTTTTTCGGTGTTTTCCATTTGGTTGATACGATGTAACCTATATCGACGAATTCTCATTATATCATAATTGTTTCTTCTTTTGATTTTTATAAATATTGCACGATTGCTCGAGCTTTCGTTGCAATGTTTTTCTTAAAAAGTGGTCGTTCTCAGTCGATAAACAATTCGTTCAGTTTTTATCGATCGAGATATTAAATTTTTTTTATATTTCACCGTTTTTTTTATTTCTTAAATTCAATTTCATTTTGTAACAAATTGTTTTTGGTATGATCCAGCACTTCAAAACAATTAAAAATTTGTCAATTCCTCTTTTTTATTTTCGCCACTCAAATTAAATTGTATTTTTTTCCAACCTGTGTCATCGGGCTTCTTACCACGCCTAACGGTTCTTCATCAAAATTCTAACATCGAAACCAGTGGATATTCTACATTTTAATACTTTTTGTTCCGTTGATTAATTACTAAAAAACTTTTAAATGTTAAATAAAACATATATGATGAACAGAAAAAAAGAACAAAATCAAAGGTGTATTCTATAATTAAGGAGTTAATGAATTTTGTCCAAGTGGCTAACTGTTATATGTGAACACGCTAAAGAAGGTAAAAAGTGTTCGACAAATTGTTATAATGACTATATTTTAATGGTGTTATTAATATTTATATAGTTTATGGTATAATTCGTTGAATGGTAAATGTAGGGTTAAATATTTAAATCTTTTTATTTATTTTAATATTAGTTAAACTAATGTTTTTATTAAGTTTGACGTAGTAATCATTAGGGGTTAATATTTTTGTTGTTGATATTTTCATCGCCATTAGTATCGTTGATGGCGCCACTCTCTCTATTGGTATTATTCTTAATAATATTTCATAATATTTTTCTTGAATTATCTTCTTGTTCATCTTTTCAATTACAACGATATTATTTTCTTTAAAATTTATATTAATAAATAAATTATATCTATTCGTTGGTTCAACTAACATATTTTTAATATTTCAATTAATATTTAATTTCGCATATATTTATAAGTTGTATATTTTCAGTTCGTATCAATTTTTTTTAAATAAAATATATATATTATATATCTATATCGAATAATATGCAATTTTTATATTTACCATGTCATTTTTATTAATATTATTTTTTATTTCTTTTTAAAAATATTAAAAGATTTTTTTGTAACGCACATATTAATATTCCCTTTTTACTGTCTTTTTTTGTTATTCTTATATTGTTTTGTAGATCTATTACTTCCATTCATCACGCTTTAAATCGAATTTTTATATATGTCGACATATTTTCTAAATTTTTTATTTCATTTATGAAAATTTATTATTACATTTATTAATGAATATAATCATCAATATTTATAGCGAATACAATTATCAATAACTTATGAATTTAATTTATAAAAATATTATATATTTATGAATTAATATCTTGTGTATTTATAAACTTTTGTGTAATTATTTTTTTCGTATAAATTATAAATTTTTATAAGTAATTAATTTATTTTTTAACATTTATATTTTAGTGCGATGATATTTATTAATTGTGTATATTGTTATAATAAAAATAGAATTTTTAATATTTTTAATGTCATTTTTAATGTCGTAATTAATTTGTTTTCAATAAAACCAATTATCTATTTACTTTTTACTTTATTTTTATTTTTATTATATACTTACATATCATATAATCACATAAATTTTTATGTGATTTATGATTAATATTTTTACAGGCCTTCACATTGTTAAATTTTATATAATCAATATTGTTTATTCAATATTTAAACATCAATTATTTCAAATATTTTTAAATAATTTATATTTTTTCGCAAATAAATTTTGAACAAGTATCAAAGGTATCAAAAATCGTTGATTAATAAAAAATAAATATACGAATACATCATATACACAGTCAAAAGTTTGATATCACTTATTTATAAATAAAAAAAAATAGTAATATAGTGAAAGAAGTCTGCAATAAATTTAACAAAGATAAAAATAGAAAACTATATTATTTTGTTTTCTTTTATAAATCATAAATAATAGATGTGATTCCAAACTTTTGAACAGTAACTTATGTTAAAATTATTATTCACATAAATATAAACTGCTGCAAACAGGAAACTTGAATAATACGAGTACTCGTTGAAAATATTTTGACTAAAAATACGTCAATACAATAAAAAAATACTAATAATGTACCTTGTGTTTATTTGCATTTTTAAATATATCGATAACAATAATATCATCGTTTAATATTAAGTATTAATATTTTTAATCCCTAAAATTCCTATGAATTTGCTTTTTTTATTTTTCTTACTCTTAATTTTTATCTCGTCTTATTTTTTAAATAGTTTTTTCTTTGTGCAATTAAATAATTATTTTAAGATTGCATGTACTCTATGATATTTTTACATATAATAGTTATATATAAATTTCTATATATGAAAGTGTTAGATCCGTGTTATTGGTTTTATGATACAAAATGTAATCTTAAAAAATATATATACACAATATTAATTGGAAAATTAATATTTAGGTAATCTCTCTTTATAGTCATTTGTTGGTTTATAGTTTTTTCCAAATTTTAAGAGAAATACAATAATAGTAGTTTAACTGTTACAGAATATATACATTAATCGTTTTTTTAAGTAAATGATAGGATAATATAAGAAATACTATTAAAATCTTTATCAATTATGTATCAGGTTGTAAAAAAATGATTATATATATAATATATATATATGTATATAGTTGAAATTTTTTTCATTAAAATTTAAAATATTGTAAAATTGTATAAAATGATTATATAAAAACCACTATAAAAAGAGATCTTTCCATATATAATTCTCTTTTTCACTGGAGAAGATTGATGATAAGATTGAGAACAAATGAACATAAAACTAAAAGTAATAATTCGTAATGAAGAAGGTTATTATGTCAGCTAAGATATCATAAAACTTTGATAATTGAAATCTGAAAGAAAAAAAAAAAAAGAATTATTCAAGTGTTTAAAGAATCCGTAATTCAAACTATGAGTTTCTTGAAGTTTTCCTGAATTCTAGATTTAGTATTTGTCTTTTTAATCTTCAACGAAATGGAAAAGGCGACATTTTCAGATGTCAAATATTATTTTTCTAATTCATTTTAATTATTATATTTTCTATATTATCATTTTCCCATACGTTATATTATTAAATAAAAAAAATAATTTATCTATTTAATCGTTACTTTATGTAATAATTTTATATTCGAATTCACTGTTTTTTAACAGTAATTAATTCATTTCGAATATTTCTTATTATAATTCTTATCGAATGTTTTTTCGGTGCTAAACAGACAAAATAAAAAGGCTTTACTTTTCAAACTTTTATAGTATGAGTTAACTAATTCAATATTTGTTCAAATACTTACAAGCTTCTTTCAAACATTGTAAAATTCTTCGAGTGGAAAAAATGCAGTTATTAATTATAACTGTGATTCAAGTTTAAAAATTTCCAATCAAGATTAAAAAATTCGCATTAAATCGTATTCCTCGAATTGAAATAGCTTCATCGAATAATTATTTAATTTTTGTTAAATAGACATTAAACGAGCATGTATTAATCACAGGAAAAAATTCATAAACAAATGAATAAAATTCGATGTATTATACATACCATAGTCATATAATACGAGTGGATTAGGATTAATCTTTTGCTTCATCGATTAAAAAAATTGAGCACACAATTTCCATTCTTTTCCAAATAAAACTTCGTTTATCAGGAATAGCCAATATTCAAACGTTTTTTAATATTACAATAGCATATTTCTTACAAGAATATCCTGTAAATAGAATATTTTGTTTATTTCTTACCTGAAAATATCTGAAAATCGAGATTTAAACTATGCACTTACTTGTTTCGACCAGATCGAATGAAATTTTCACAGTTATAACAGAGATTTTATTACTATCATTTTATCGAAGTGATTTTTAATTATCTTGTTATATTGTATTGTATTCTGTAATAAAAATTTTTATGCATCAAAACTGGATACATTTATTAGCATCCTCGATAATTCAAAACATAGGGATAGAAAGATATCTAATATTTCATTGTCACGTGACTAGTAAGTGTGCTAGAATTATAGACTATTTACTATATATATTCGATGCTGTCCACGTTAATCTAGAGTACTTTTCCTATTTTCTCTCCATTATCATGTTATACCGAATTGTTTAACCAATACTTCTATACAAAGTGTTCTACAAGTTCCGCATAAACTTTACTAACTTGTTCTATGACTAAAAGTAAAAAAAAAGTGTAGAGTTCTGAACAGTTTCATCAAGTCAGCAATGAAAATATAATTTTCTCTTATAGTATGTAAATGCCTGAAAAATTGCGTGTCTCCTTAAAGTAAATAATGAAATTGACGAACTAGTACCAAAATTAATACTTCTTGTCGAATATCATTGTGGTCATTTTCAAAGTACGAATCTATGAATCAATGCTATTTTCTATGTCAATTTTGGAAAATTGTTTTTTTTATAAGAAATGGTCTTTCATTAGTATTTCGTAGTATGATTAATGGCATCAAAATATCTTTCAACTTTTAACTAATATAAAATAACTATGTCGAAAAGTTCTTTTTTTATATATATAATATTTTCTTGTTTTTAAAGATAAAAGAAATATTGAAAAGAAGATATTTTGATAACAGTAATAACATCAAAAGTCATAAAAAAAAAACTCTATAAAACTATTTTAAAAATAATCACAATAGCATTCACTAATAAAATAAAGTTTGTATTTTTATCACGATATTGCAAATTTTATTGTTATTCTTCATAAATAATAATAAATAAATTATGTATCATAAAATCAAAAAATATCTGTTTAATTTAAATTTAAATTAAATTACAACTTAATTAATTTAAATTAGTTAGGTTAGATTATAGTTAGATTAGGTTAAGTTACTTTGAGAAAAATAATGACAGCGTTAAAAAAGATAAATCGTATCTATAGAAGAATATGTCAAATAGAAAGAATATATAAAGAAAAAAAAATGTACCTGAAAAAAGATTTTTCTAAAATAAATTACGAGTTTAATCTGATACATAAAATTACGAGCAAATTATAAAAAACGATTATAAGGATTTGTATTTAATTTTTGTACTAATATCTTGTTTTTTGCTCGTACATTTCATAACAAGTGTCAAAACGTACGTGCTTAATTGGTACTCTTATACGCACTACGTACTAGCGCCTCCAGCGTTAGTTTAATGACGTTAATGTCGATTTAATTACATAGAATAAAGAATACTCGCAGAATGGTTGATGTTCTTTCTTACGATAGTTTATACGATAAATACCGATGTAAGAACTTGAAAAAGATAATTTCGAGTTGTAATGAGTGGAAAAGATTGGAATTTAACTAGATATATTTTCGAATGGCAGAAATTTTAGGCAGAAATCAATTTAATGATTTTTTAATTTTTAAAAAAAAATAATTATATAAAGCTCTAAAAAAGAATTATTATATGAAAAATATTTTATATATCGGCGACATAAAATATTGTTTCATATAAATTTTAATAAAATAATAAAAATATAAAATAAAAATATAAAAATAATAACATTAAATATGATTATTTAATTGTCTGATAAAATAATACGATAATAAAAATATTGTTATAATTATAAAATCGTTGATGAGCTTAAAACTGAAGAAAAATGATTTTATGGAAGAAGATCTTGAATCACGATATTTATCATCGTGAATCAAATAACAATGTTAAAAGAATAACAAAAATATTACAATGTTTGATAATACCTTGTATGTAAAAAATAGTAATTAAATGGGGTCACATAAATATCTCTGTTATTTTTAGAAATATGAAATAACGTTGTTTACAAAAATATTATTCTATAGAAAGAATCGTGACATAGTAATAACATGTCAATAATCTTTTTTGAGTTTTTCTTTTACAAATTTCAAAATCATTTCTATTTTTTTTTTTTTTAACATGATTAATGTGAAATTTATACAAAGATATATGTAAACGTACAATTTGAGATAACAAAAGAAAACAATATGGAAATTGTTCAATTTAATCATTTATTTCATGTGCAAATATATATTAAGAGAAATTATAACGAATACACGGTTGCAATTTGGCAAACTGGCTCGCCAATCTCCTTTTGTAGCTTTTGTGGCTCAGTAATATATCAATTACTATTGAAACAGAACTAAGAAACTCCGAGACTTGTGAGTCCTAATTAGAATTCAAAGTTTTCGCCATATAGGGTTGGCAACTTGTATGCAGGCTGTTAACCACGACAAATCAGCAAATAGATTGTTAACCTTACTAATGTTACATAGAGCTCGTTATTACTTAATCATTATTATTATAATAACACTATATAACGAGATATTAGATTGTTTGCGCGTGGAATGATCAGTTTAACAACTTGAGATACCAAATAAATATTTATTATATATTAATTAATTAAGAACATGAAAATATATATTTATACATTCTATCTATTTAATTGATGATTATAGATGATTGGGTCATTTCTGACAAGATAAAATACATCACGACGATAATGCAAACAAGATTGAAATAAAATTTAAGTAACTTTGGACGCACTTGTGATGTTGTGATAGCTTTTGACCTAACCTCCGTTTCATAGCACCGGCATAGTTAACGGTTTTAACCATATTTACAAGTGATTCTTTTATGTGCAGTAATTGGTCCGCAAAACACCGGCTGAAATGTATCATCGACTGTGATATACCTGATGTGATATCCTTCGAGGAAGAATGCAACTCCGTACAAGATTCGATCGATGAAAAATAGAATTCTCTGCCCGTCATCATGTTCACGAGGGCCAAGATGCCGGTGACTGGTGATGGGACTTTTATTAACCGCGGTGTAACGAGAAATGTGACATGTTGTCGTTAAGCAACAATGAGCATCGGGGAGCACGCATCAGCGAAAAGTAAGTAGGATAATACTGGAGATATTTTTCATTATTAACCTTTTTGCAAATGCGGACAAATTTTTCTTCTTTCCTTTCTCCCTTTTCTTCTCCGCTCTCGTATCTTTATATTTTACGAACTTATATAATAACTGCAGATTTAATTACAACGTATTCATTTTACAATGTTCGATAGATCCATGACATTAAGTAAGATTTAGCGCGAGAATTTCCTCTATTTTTTGTGAAACGTTATTGTGCGCTTTTAAATATAAATATTATCGTATCGTATTCGTATAATATTGGATGAATGCAGAAGTTTTGACGGATTTCCAGTAGATTGTACGATCGGCATTGTTTCGAAGAAACAATGGACAATCTTGTCGAAGCATTATACATCGTTAACAACGTAACGCAGCAGTCAGCTGTCATTCAAAATAGGAATCGATATGATTGAATTAAATTTTAATTTAAATAAAATTGAAAGAATTATCGATAAACTGCCATTTACTTACAATATTATACAATAATGTATAATTACAAAATGATAGAAAAATCTTGCGAATATACGATATGAATGCAATCCAATATGAGTAGTATTCGTGCCGATACATCGAACTATTGGAACTGGAGCTCTAAAGTACATAGTTAATAAATTTATGGTAGCTGTATGAGTACTTAATAAAGTTATCTGAACAGCTAATTAGACTACCTAAGAAATTAATATAGTTACCTGACTGAACTGATAAGCTTATGCGGGAATTGTGTGAAAAAGCAAATTTTATTAAAACAATTTGAAAGATTAAATTAGACTCTTGCAGAAAATATATCTACTTTATACGATTGATCATTTTGAAATTAACTTTTCTGAAGATCTGTATCTTTTAAATTCAATTTTGGAATTAAAAAGAAAAATAAATAAGAAAAAAAAATACAAATACATACGTGTTTCCCAACAAAATCCCAGCAAATAGTGCAAAAAAAAATCGATCGACTTGGCTCGTGCCACGATTACTTCACATGCAAGCAATAAAATTTCTTTGAAGAAAACGTAACAAAACGTTGAAAGGTATTGATAACATTGCGGAATTAAATGGAATTTAAAATATTTTCGATAAAATGAGAAAAAATGCGATATAGAAAAAGGAAAATTTCAAATTAAACTGTACATACCAATTTCCAAATTATATAGATATAGTAACAGGTTGAACGCTTATCTCTTTAAATTGCATTTGTAACTACTTAAACTTACAATTTAATGGAGTGAATTCTACAAAGTTAAGATCAGGAGTTGAATTGTTCGGGACAGTTGCGTCTCATTCGGCTCACTGCCAACAGACGTACAAAGAGTGGTTCGTAGAATCACATCCGAGGAAAACGTCACCAAGATCGGCCACACTTTTTTTTTTTTTTTTAGA